AGGAAGATGTGATTGCAGTCCGTCCTCTTGGAATGCGGGTGCGAAAAGGCGATCTCCAACTCGTCCATGGCTTCTAACAGCACCCGTTCGCCCTCGTTCTGCAGGTACTCGAAACTGGCCTCCTTCGTTATCAAATCCGAGTGCCGTATTAGCGACCGGATGAAGAAACGGTAATCTGTCACCTCTTTACCACCCGCGACCTGTTTGAAAATTATATTCTGATTAGTTTTGTTATTTTTTTTGCCGTATTCGTAAATAAAACGTTACGTCACCTTGGCCTTGCCCAGGTACAGATGCATCTTCTGGTTGGACGTCGGCAGCGCCTCCAAGTTGTACGACCTCATCCTGTTGATCTCCAACTGGAAAGCGCAAGCCGGCTCCAGGTGTCTGTGTATCTTGTCCTCCAGGAAACCGTCCCTGGCGCGGTACGTGAAGAACTTCGGGAACTGCTTATGCTTGAAAACGGTGAACGTTATGCGACGTACCTTGCGCGCCATCAGTTCTTCCCTGAACCGAGCACAGAAATTGCCGAATATCTTGCTCATCGTCGAGTCGTCTTTGTCGCTGTTGTTCTTCAGGCCGACGTGGAGGATGTGGATCGGTTCTTGGATAACAAACTCGTCTTGGCTGGGTCTGCGCGATAAGAACGTTTTTAGATGGAAATCCACGAAATTACCTAGAAACCGTACCTCCTAGCTTCCAAGGATAGACTGACGTTGATGGAGGTGCTGTTGCCTCGCGATTCCGAACCGCTTTCTACGGCGTTAAGGTCTCTAGCGGAAATACTGGCGGGGCTGGAAAAGTCCTCGATCAAATCGAAGATCTCGTCGGAGTATTGCTCGAATTGCTGGAAGCTCTCGAACGCCGCCATACAGCCGGTCCTGTGGAACGTATCGACGACTTTCGGTTGCTCCACCACGGAATCTAAAAACGCAACGGAGGTTTTGTCTGAGTGTGTACCGTGGACAAAATATAAAAGGTCAAATACAAATTATTAATTCCTGGAGTAGATTCCAATAGTCAAGGGGTTGTTACTTTGGGTTATTTTAAGGAAAAAAAAATGAACTTGTCATAAATGACAATTTTTGGTCACTTACGCTTTTACACGATGTGAAATATTTGATCCACGTTGCCAAAATTGGTGCCATAGAAAGATACTTTGAATGTATAAATTCTTATGATCCCATTCGTGTTCATCCGAGAGAACGTGAATTTTTTTTATAAATTTAAATGGGAGTTCAAGAAAATAAACATTGTTTTGGCCAAGGTGTAAGTTAATGCTTTTTATGTAATTTTTTTATGTCTGCAGATAGTTCCACCTCGCCTAAGGTAATCGGACAGGATAAACGCGGAAATATTAAAAAAGTAATTGTTTAAATGTCATATAAGTTTACGTCCATGGATCCTTCACAAGCTCAATTATTTCACATTCATTAAAATTGGACAGAATGAATCAGCACTTGTGAAGTAAACATGAAAATAGAAGCATCTACAGACATAAACATATGACAAAAAATATTGGTTAATGAATGATTAACAATTTGGCTTTGCTTCATTAATCAATACCTTTTATTTACCATAATTTTTTACATCAGCAGATACTTCACATTCACACTGCACGACTGCCTGCCGATTTATGATGTACGGATTCATTCTATCCGATTATAGCAACCTGAATTGTGTCCGGTAAGATAGTTGTGGACGTAAAATAGTATGACATCCAAAAATGTAGTCGAGGACGTNTATGTATATATGTGTATATATATGTGTGTATATGTGTAAGTTATGGGTATAATGTAGTTAATGTGTTTTAGGCTTAGTCAGATGCATGTATATTGAATGGTGTATTAGGGTCAACCTATTTCAATAAACAGATGTATTATTATTACAATCGAATTTGTTAAATTACAATAATTTGTAACGCTCAATATGAAAAATATACACAGGTTGATCCAATTAAAATAAAGTAACATTCTTTTCTTAACCTTTAATAAGTGATGTTTTTATCGTCATCTAAACCGAAATTTAAAAAGTCATGTGTCGTCGCGAGTAGAATTGAAAAAGCTTTAAACTGAGTCATCGCTCAACATAAGGAGTCACTTAAAGTTTCTTGAAAAGAAAATCGACGTGTCTAACGGTTTATTTTCTTTTTAATTTCGATATTTTCTAGGTGGGAAGTTTTAATTGGAACACCCTGTATAATGCCCACATATTTTGTGTATTATTTACCAAACTTCAAGTTTGAAACACGGAATTGTAATATCCAAGTCAAACTAGAAGTTTTCGGTTTAAGAAGGTTTAACTGTTATGGAACCGACAAACAAATATTCATAAAAAAATTAATATAATCTTGTTAATATGAAGGAAAGCCTAAAAAAAAAAAATTACGACTAGTTTTGATACCTAAACGACAAGATATTAATAGAATAATTTTTCACGATTTAGTACGGAATCTTATGCAGATTTTTTTGGTCTTGCCACTGAGAATGCGCAACAATTGACGAACAGTTTCCACGGCAACTTGTATAAATAGGAAACCGATATCTAAGGAACTGTATGACAGCTCGTAGAAATCGATTAGGTGCTTGTAAAAGATACATAATTTATAATAATTCTCCTTCAAAGTGCTGTCGTTGGCTAACTTAGCCCCCATATGCGCGTGATAGCGGCGACGCCGCGGTTCTCGAAGTAGCGTATTATTTGAAATTCGCAGCTGTGACATATATTTCAAGGTTAGGCATCCAAATAAACAGAATGATCGAATGCGAGCGAGGGAACGCCGAGACGAACGCGCCAGCCAAGTGCAACGTTGCCAAATCTAAAGGCCTTAGTCACTAGCGCATCTACAGAAACTCTCATTTGACTTTAGACGTACCTGATAAAAATCCTTAAACAAAAAATGTCAAGTTCAACAACTTGAAACTTTGATTTTCCGTAAAAATTTCTAGTTTGAATTCCAAATTCTGTAAAATATGTTTAACCTCTACAATCATATTTTAGATTACAGATAAATTTGAACTTAAATGTTTAATTTTCAAATTTCAGTTTTGAAACAGACGATAGAATACATTTAAATAAACAAAAAAAAAACCTTATATGACATGGGTCCTAAACTCAAGCATTCCGAGAAGAAAATTATTAAAATCTCCAAATTGATGTACAAAAGTACGATTAATTAAGGAATATTGACATAACTGCGTGCATAGAATACCATAAAATACGATGTTTATCACTTTTTTTGAACTTATTTACGCTTAATTCTTAATTCTAAAAAATAATTAATTCGATAAAATTCATATCGAGCAATGTGACAAAGGCGCGGCGGATAACACGAGGTACTAAGGTGTCCAGCGACCACCGATACACAATTCAGTTGGTATCCGGATTCGACCGTGTCTGAGTGTTTTTTGTGTGTTACTAATTCCTTTTCTTGAGGCGTTTTCCAGCTAGTGCGCGAAAATTGGATTGAAAGGTGTGGTGCGCGCATCGAAATTGGTGGTGGACATTTTGAGCATATGTTGGTAGTTTGTTTTGTACTTGTGCGTTTAATACGTATGATTATTTGGAGGACGTGAATCTTTAGGTACTTTAATTACATATTTTCCAAATTCATAAATTTCATTTATTTAAAAACTGGAAAAAGATTGTCTTGAAATTTACTAAATGTTTCGCAATATGCTTGTACACGTGATGTGCATCAGCAGATTAAGCGATGTTGTCATGTTGTGATGAAACTCCCCAATTAATATTGGGGAGTTTCATACTCGCTGTATTTTGAAAACTGTTAATCTTACATCCCTGTAGTAAACAACTTTTTTTGTTCATTTATGAATTTTTTATCTCATGCTGAAGTAATGGCACTCAAACTTCTTACACCCTGTATATTTTACAAAATTTCAAATTGAAACAAGAATTTTTACTATGAAACCAAAAGCTTAACTTTCAACTAGAAATTTTGAGTTCAACTGAGGAAATTCAAAATTTCAAATTCAAACCAGAAAGGACCTTGCTTATGAAAAACTTATTTTAGTTAAATTGGTTGAAATTTTTATAAGTTACTGCTGTTAAGTTTAAGTTCATATTTTTCGAGTTACGTTGACTTCAGGGCAATAAATCGAGTACCAGAAGGGATAAAAATATTAAACTCGGTCCAACACCTCTTTGGGGTAGCTTTTTACCGCGACTCCAAAACTACTTGTACGTGCGAAAATGGTCGAGTTTAGCCCTGAATCTTGATTTGGTCATTGCCCCCATGCGAGAGATACATGTGCATAAAAGAATTAATAAAAAATTCAATTTTTTTATTACAATTTATAGAAATCCAATAGGTTTTTATGCCATCCACTGGAATAGTTGTAACGAAAATCTGCAGTCAAGAGAACTACTCACAGTTTCGAATACGAAGTTATTGCCCTGTAGTCAACGTAACTCGAAAATTACGAACATTTGGATATTGCGCCAACGGAGACTTTTGATCGGCAGGTTAAGAATCAATTTAATTGAAACCACTTTTTCATAAGAAAAGTGCCGAGTCTTTTCTACTTTGATTCACAAAATCTCAAGTTCAAACTCGACGCTTTGTTTTAACGTTTTTTAATTTCAAGTTCAAAATCGAAATTCCGAGGTCAAGCTAGAAATTTCAAGATCAAACTAAAGATACGGAATTCAAACTCAAAATTTCAGGTTAAAATATGAAAATTTCTAGAGCGAATTTAAAATTTTGTACTCTATTTTAAAATTTTTAAGGTAGTTTAGTTGAATTCGAAGTACAAAGTAAAAATTTCGGGTTTCATGATGAAAATTCAATCTTTCAAGTTCAAAATTGAAATTTCAAATTCAAACTCAAAATTGATTTTTCGACTAGAAATTTTGTGTTCCCAAGAAATTTCTAGTTTGATTTCAAAATTTGTTAAAAGAAGTTAAAAATTCAAGAAAAAAAATGCAGAATGGGAAAAATTGGAAACTATTCAAAATTTCAACACTTAATTTGAAAAACTCACCAATAATATCAGTCAGTTTGTATCTGGATTCGCCCTCGTCTTCGATGAGCACGGCCCTCACAGAATTCTGGGCGCTAACCTTGGCGTAGTCTTCTGGGGTCAGGTACAAATACCTGAAATATCGGAAATAAACGACGGGACGGTTGTAAAGAGAAAATTTCATTCCACAAACTCACCTGAAACCCCTGTCCGGCTCTTTGTTGTCCTCCCACGCGATCCTGAACAACGCCTTCACCTCTTCCGCCAGACCTATCCTGGCGCCGCTGTTGGCCGCCAGGTATATCCTCGGTATCCTCAGTTTTCTAGCGATCTCGCTGGCCATACTGAATACCTGAGCAGTACCATGAAATTTAACATTCTACAACCGTCCTGAATCGAAATAATACCAACCTTATCCTCCCTAGGCCCGAAGGAACCGATGAGGTAAGTTATGTCGTTGGCGATCACTATTATGTCCCTGCCGTCCGGGTACTCGGGGGTGAACAACGTCAGCCTCCAAGCCACCATGCCCACGTTGTTCTCGCCTGGCACCCGCTTCTGTTCCATCAGCCTGGACTCGGTCTCCGGGTCGAGGATCAACTCCACGAAGTCCATGAACTTGTCGGGTACACGGATGGCCTCTGAAACGATAAACAAACCCGTCCGAATACGGCCCATCGTAAATAAAACGACAAAGACCCACCCGACAACCTCTCCTGGCTGTACTGCTTCCAGTGCTGGTCCGTCATCTGCCTGAACATGTCGAGATAATCGTAAACGTACGTCGTGCCGACGGACTGCGCCTGGAAGCGTTTCTGCTGCAGGTAATCCTTGGGGATGTAGGGCGTGTATATGGGAAGGCCGTGCAGCGGTCCCTGCTTGTTGCCGTAGGCCTGGAAGTTGATTATGCCCGTCTCCGGGTCCACCACCTCCGTATACATGTTGATGTCCAGGTAGTAGCCGCTGTCGTTGGCCAGACAGAGACGGATGGTCTGCGTGTTGGTGCCGGGGGAGGAACGGATGACCACCTTGATCTCGGCTTGGAGGACGCGCAGCTTCCAGAGACGCGGCCCGTACCGCATCACCATGCTGGTCACCGCTTCCTCGATCTACGCGGAATGCATTTGAAATGTTACATCGAAGAGGGGTATTACTTTTACAAGACATTTGTAAGTATAAAAATAAATAATTTTTGAAAAAAGAACTTAATACGACTGAAATGTTTCGACATGAATCAACGACAGCTTGTACTAATGTTGTTACATAAAGTAAGCATAGTAGAGTATGGGCGGGATATAACCTATCTATGAAGTTCATGTCAAATTTTTAATGTCATTTTTATTTAACGCCTACTGGCACAAATCATTACTTTGTAGCTACCGAAACAAAATAACCTAGTACCCTACGGGTACTATGAAATTGTTATGTAGGTGCTATGAAAGCGGAACTAATACCATGCAAGGCAAAATAAGCCTTTTAAGCAATGTTTTGTACCAGTTTTTTTTGCCTAGGGAGATACTCGTCTTGTATTCATAGCACCTACAGGTTAGTAGGTCACTTTGTCAGTAGGTGTTAAGCCGCAATGTCATTTAAGATATGACATACAGGGTCGGAAAGTCCCCATGGTTCATCGGCCGTTACGTGAGAGCGGTAAAGAAAGTCATAGAAATCCGTGCGATAGAGAAAGATGGCTATAATGAAGGCGTCTAAGGCCCAAATTCATAGATCTCACTAAACTTCCACTCACACTTATNATCAATTGAAAATCAAAATGCTTTATATTTATCGGAGTTTCAACCTATTATATCGTGTTAATTCGCATCAACTGCTAGTCAGATTCTCAGGTTATTTATTTAAAATTTTATAGATTATAAGCAGTAGGCAGGCGGTAGGCTGGCTCACAGGCACAAGCAGAGCAGAAGCACAAACAGTAACAAAAGAAAATCTATCTTTAATAGATACTTCAGCTTTAGAAAAGTGCAATTTGTTTTGTACCGGACAACTTTTGCACTTAAGCAAGTGTCTTATTTCTCGAATTTGGTTTTTTTATCACCGCAATATTTGCACTTGAATTTCCCCTTTTTGGAGTCATAATCAAAGTGCTTCCAGACCTCACCTTTTTTCTTCATGATGTTCAGGTGGAAGGAAGGTAGCTGAGTAAGACCGCTGATTTACACGGATTTTTTGGTTGTTTGTCTATAAAACAAGCGCGTTCATTGTTTTAGTGTTCATAAAATACGTGTTCTGTACTTCTGTAGTTTTAGTTACCGCCATGATTGTGCTAGTACATACTAGATGACACTTCATAAATTCTCTTAAATTCTTGGAGAATTTAAGGACGGAGAATTTTCTCGGAAAGTTTCCGTTCTCCGAGAATGTTCTCAGGAGAATATTCTCACGTCCCATCTCTACGCGAGATTATTGTAAAATTGTCTAAAGGAACATAATACAAGACATCACGAGTCAAAAAATTTTATTGGCTAACTTTTCTATTTAAACAAATATGTGAGGAAAACAGTTTTTTCAATTTGCAGGGAAAACCATCAATTTTAGCGAAAAGTGACTCTCAGACAGCTTGTAGGGAGTAAAATTATCTACAAAATGAGACTGGTTAAATTAAAATCGGTTAATAAACAAAAAAGTTATTGCAAAAAAACAAGAAAAGTGCCCATTTCTTCATTTGTTTATAACTATCGCATATATTGTTAAAATTTTATAAAACCTATGACAAGTTGAGGGTTTTGTCATACTTTAAAAGTGTGCCAAAAGTGGGCGCTGTAGGTGCAACATTCTCAAATTGTGCATTAAAAAACCGTGCGTTTTTCGCTTATACAATTTGAATAAAATTGTTGCTATTTATGCTGTCTCACCGAAAATAGATGCAGTGGATAGCTGGCAAAAAAATACAGAACCAAGATAAGAATTTTTTTTTAAAATCGTAGCGCAATTGTTTATAAATTTAAGACTTGAATTTTTCGCAAAATACAGTTTACGACGTAAACTACGATTTCCCGTGAATTGCATTAAAAAATGTGGAAAATTAACGACTCACGAGCCCTTTAAAGAGAAGGTACTCGCTAAGTATACTGTCCGGCGGCCGGCGGCGTGGTGGTGGGGGAAGCTCGTCCAAGCGAGTCGCGCGCGCGAGAAAAGTTAATTCCAAAATTCAAATTGATGCGCGCTGTAAATTTTGCAATATCTCGGCTCCTATTCATCGTAGAAACTTATTATTTTTTTTAAACTGGGGTAGCTCGACGAAAAAATAACTTTTATAATAATTTTTTTTTAATTTACAAAAATGTCACAAAAATTATTGTTAAACGAAATATTAATTAAAATTTCAATTTCGGAATTATTTTACTATTATTAAATAAATAAATGAA